ATTTAATTGCGATTTTTCCGATTAATATTGCGACTGCAATTTTAATTGCGTTTTTTTTTTTTCTAAATTGAGATTCAGGCCTGGTTTATTTTGGCCAAGAAGACCAGAATATCCATCTTTTTGGCTTGAGGCTCGACCCCTGAATGCATTGTGCCAAACTGCCAGTCGTGGTTGTGATGTCACACCAAATGGAGATTTGTTTGCATCTGATTGGTCTAACTTTTCTACAGGCATTTCAGTTTCCCCTTTTTAAATAATGCTTTTGCTAATGTACACACTTAAACGGTTCTCTAGTAAAGACATGGTTCTATATAGAACCATAAACACTCAACAACCCATTTACATGCTTAAAAAGTTCTTTGCATGGTAAAATGCTTCTTTAGATGGAGAGTGTGTTTTATATGGTTCTATGTAGCACCTTTGTGAAAAGGGTTCTATATAGCACCAAAATGTTCTTTTACTGTTACGAGCTTGGTATCATAACAATAGCAGAACCCTTTTGGGCGCTATATAGAACCACATGCAACACATTCTCCATCAATCTGAAGAACCATTTCACCATGCAAATACCCATTTGAGCATGCAGATGGGTTGTTGAGTGTTCATGGTTCTATATAGACTGGCTGTCTTTAATAAAGAACCTTGAAGAACTATTGTTTTTAACAATGTAGGTTATTGAAAAAAATGCAGCTCTTGCAATTTGAAAATTGCACTTAAATTGTCTTAAATTGTGATTTCCATATAAAAACGATTAATCTTTCAGCCCTAATTATGAGAGAGCAATATTTGATTAGGTAACAGCCTAATCTACTGTAGAATACTCAGCACTGTATTCACCTCTGATGAAATCTAGCCTGCATCATTAAACACACACGTGTACTCAGCTATTAAGAGTATTCAGCTTGCATTATAAATGATAGCTGTTACTTTACAACAGTAAATGTTAGTAGTTGCTCATTTTTGGCCTCAAATTACCATCGACAGCCTGCTTCATATGACGTAGCTCCCACAGCAGCACTGCTGAATGTACTGGGCAATTTTTTAGTGGGGTCATAATTCAGAAGAAAACTAAATAACAGCAGTATTTACCGGTCACTCTGGAAAACAAAGTGAATTTATCCTGTTTTCCATTATGTTATATGACAAATATTGCTTCCTGTACTGTTTCTACTCTCTGCTTAACACAGTAATCTTCAGTTACAGTAATGTTACAGTAATCCACATAGAGCAGAAAAATACTGTAAAAACAAAGATGTAGGGATTTGCTTAGGTGCTTATAAATGTAGACAGCCAGTGTTGCTTTCTTAAGCAGAACAAACAAGAATAATGTGAAGGTTTTGAGCTGCAGTCACTCTCCTGTGAGATAGCTGGTTACTGATTGTCAGATCATAGCTGCTTGGTAACGGCCCTGACGGCGGATTTTCACCGTCAAACTGTTCACACATAGTAGCAGAACCTTTCTGTGGTGACTGCATCATTGATAATAGCTGACTGTCTCAATATGTTTAGCTGAGGTGGTCGTGCCTCATGGGTGGGTGGCCCTGGCCCCCTCTGACCACCCTTTGGCTACTCCCCGGGTTTCAGCTTCAGAGTGGTGCTGCTTTTGTTTGTTAAGAATTATGGAGTAAATTAGCCTAAATGACGTTTAGATCAGATTTTATGTCCTTTTCAAAAATGAAATTTGATTTAAAGGGGAATTTCACCGTCTCAGAGTTCCCACATGGTTAAATGGTTGTTATGGACAGAGTCTTTTAGAGTGATTTGATATGAAATGTTCCATTATAGAGAGACATGCTGAGTCAGAATTGTTCACAGTGGTGGTGATAGGAACCAGACGTCTGAGGTGAATTTTGGTTTTCCTTTTATTTTAAGTGAGCTGCGTAAAATCTCTTCAGAGAAGTTAAATATCAGCACTTAACTTAAAAGTTTAAATGTACAGTTTTAAATTTGTCTCATTAAGCATTTAAAAACTTTGGTAACGCTTGAAGGATGTCAACGTAACACATTCACAACATCTTACATAAACACTTCATAACATGTTCATGAACATTTAAATCAAAATTCAATTTTAGCATGATATTAATACAGACTATTATGACACTTTACTGAGAGACATTTTTCAAAATAAAAGTTCTCCTTTTTTATTTTGAAAACCTGTATTATTTTCAGTGAATGCCTTATTTCTGGACAGCCAAAATAAAAATGACCCTGCTTTACCCCTTTGGTCATTAAGTGCTGTGACACTTAGACACACCACCATACCAGCATTCAGTCGAATGATTGTTCCTAAGCATATTTAACAGTAATTTACTGTGCATGTAGTAAAGTCACATGCAAAGCAACAACTGATTAACAAAAAACAGATAAAAAGAAACTGAAAGTATAGGTGACACGTGCCTGAGTGTCAAGGCACGTAACGACCAAAGGGATAAAGCAAGGTCTTTATTTTTGCTCTCCACCAATGAGGCGTTTTACTGAAAATGATATACTTTTTCAAAATAAAAAACTAAGGATTGTTATTTTGAAAAATGTATCTCAGTAAAATGACATAGTAGTCCATTTTAATATTATGTAAAACATGAATACTTGATTTAAACATTCATTAACATATTATGAAGTGTTTATGTATGATGTTATGAATGTATTATGTAGACACCCTTCAAGTGTCACCAAAAGTTTTTGTTTTATTAAAGTGGCCAAAAAGGTTTATATCTCCAAAAGCTTTATCACAAAAAATTACAGTATACAATGGCTGCATGTGTTGCCCGAGGCCTAAGACATTGTTTTACAATAGTTTTGAGAAGAATTTGGCCTAGAACACACACACACACACAAACACACACACACACACACACACACATTTTCTAAGCCGCTTATCTTTCTGGGTCACAGTGTGGCCTAGGACATATCTTTTAAAATCCATTCATGGTAGAGTAGGACGTTGTACGGCAAAATAGTTCCCAAAGAAAACAAATTATTACTAATTTATTACTATTTACCATGATCAGCATTACGTATAAAAGCTCAGATGACGTGTGTAGGTTCAGTGGTGGTTTTGGATAGTAAATAAAATGGCTATATATGTGTTGTAGACATGGCAACTCCTGGTTCCTATCACCACCACTGTAAAGACATCTGAGTCTCTACAGGGAACCATTTCACGTTAAAACACTCTGGAATGACTTTAACATCTCAGTGATTTCGTTATACAGAGTTTTTGAAAAATCAGTGGAATTCTTGGTGGAAGTATCTTGTAGTTTTGTTGGTTGGTTGATTATTTACTTATTGGCTTGTGATTTGAGCTTTAGGCCTCAAGGCCTTCGCTGTTGTTCAGTAAACGTGTGTGATTGCATGATTGTATGACTATATAAATCGGTCTGATAGAACTGTTGTGTTGTTTCTACAGAATGTCTTCATGATGAATCAAAGCAGCTTTGTTTTTACCTTTGCATTCCCAAATTGAAGGTGTGCAGATTCTTGTTTTGCAGACGGAAGCCGAGCAGAATCCATGTTTGAAAAATGTAAACACACATGTGCCGGCCTGCAGTGGGCAGGTGCACCAGCGCTGCTCTCTGACGCCTCTGCACGGAGCGATCACGCTAAAACTGTCAAACTACTGTTTGTGCAACTCATCTTCACTCGGGGTTTGCTGTCCAGAGCAACATAGTGGGCCTCTCTATCTCTCTCTATCTCTCTCTATCTCTCTCTCTCTCTGTGTGAGCTTAGGGGTGAGCAACATGATGATATTTTATTTTTATTTTGACAGATATTGTCAGCACTTAAAGGGCGCATATCCTACATTTTAGCTGCATTTTATTTTTTACACCCTTAGGATCCACTTCTGATATTTGTGTGGGTTTATATATTAAAAATAGTCAAAGTCATTTTTACGTGACATTTTTTCTTTGAGACTGGTTTATGCAAATGAGTTCTGATTGGCTGCCCACATTCAAAAAACACTGTATAACTTCAGTGTGAATCAGCAGGGCTGAACTGTTTTAGGCCAAATAGGGAGGTAAACGTAAATGTATTGGTTTTCATGACGTCACAAAAACAGGAACTTCAAAACGGCCTGTTTTTGTAGTCTGATTTCCATATATGGAGTGTGTGGGCTGGTGAATTATTGGGGAATAATGACTCTAAAGTGAAAGTGGGAGTACTGTTGCGCAGTTGTACTCAATTAAAAGTGGAAGTAAGGAGCCAAAAATATACTAATAGAGTCAAAATGTGTCTACATTTAAACTACTCAAGTATATAAATGTAAAATGTACATGTTTTAATGAGAAAATGAGAACAGGGCTGCCCAAAGTTGGCCTTTGGGGAAGTTTGATTTTTGTTTTTTCAAATTTTTTGCAGAATTTAGTCACTGAGATATAAACAAAGTCAGAGTGGTTTGATGTGAAACGTACCCACTCCGTTTTCTTTACAGTACCATTGACTAAAGCAATAGGTGACCATGTCTACGACATATTTTATTTACGATCCAAAACCACCAGTGAACCTACATGAGTCTTCTGAGTTTTATATGTGACATTGATGATGATAAAATAGTGTTAGATCTAAACCAAATAGGTTTTTGGGGGACTATTTTGCTTAAAACCCACTTTGGCGTATTCATAACCATTTTGTGTGATATCTCCCTTTCAGAAGCGTTAAACTCATCAGACGTCTGGTTCTTATCACCACCACTGTGAACATTTCTAACTCCGTAATTTTCTCTAGAATGGATCATTTCACCTTTAACCACTCTGAAAGACTTTGTTTGCATCTTAACCATTTAATTATGCAGAAATTCTGACAAATCAATGGAATTCCCACTTTAATTATAGTAATAAAGTACAATTACTCAAGTACTTTCCACCACTGAACTGAACCAGTTCCAGAAAACTCAATATCGTGATATATATAGAGTATCTTGAAATTGAAGATATCAAATATCATGATGTAATGTATTTTTGCCCCATTGCCCACCCCTGGGTGAACTGTCTGTTTTTATTGAGCAAGTCGACTGTAATTTTATGAATCTGGGCTGTGCACCACAGTCCCAGACTAACAAGAATGTAATCATGGATTTGTTAAAGTTTCAGGGCTTTCTTTCCAAATCAAACATGTATTAATCACATTCAAACACACACACACGCACACACACAGAGCGCGAAGGAGCCTTTTTCACCCCGGATTCAAACGCTGTGGTGTAATTAGATAAAGCTCTTGGGGAAACTTTGACAAAGATTGAAAAAGGTAATGGAAAACGATGTTGAAAGTAAAATATTTAATGCTTATTTTACAGGTTCGGCTAGGTCATTGTGTCCAAATTTATTTTGAATTGCTGTAAGTCAGTGCCATGGTACAAGCTTCTCAGAGTTGCTTAAGATGGCCCAGCGTTTCCAACAACGCTCAGTTCATAATCAGGAAAAACACAAAACAAAATAAAATTTCAAGGCATTTCAGCACCTTTGAATCAGCGCAACATGCAAATGCCCGGTCTACCTAGAAGCTTGTCGGGCTCAAGGATATAATATAACTTATGGCTTTTTAAAAGCAAAAAAAAAGTGCATCCAACACAAAAAAAATCTGTTCCAGTCTGCAGTAATGCATTGCTTGTGTTAGGAAGGGCTTTCCTTCTTGTTGTGCTGGCCTTTATACTGTAGTCTCCGGCTCCTCTGGTGCGGGTCAGATACAGTGACAGTTCTCAGGGAGCCAAAGTCCAGTCCAGAGCATTCGCCCACACTTCGCGCAAGTACTTTTCTCCGTGTAATAAATATGGCAGTTCATTTCTTCGCCGCCCTCCGCCTCACAGGTCGCGCCCCTTTCCAAAACTCCCTCAGCTTTGGACGTGGACAAGCATGTTTACGTGTATGAGAGAGATATAACTGATAATACTCTCACGTAATTAATTTAAAACTGCACTTGTGCAACTCGGGCATGTCAGTTCTAGACCCTGAGGTCAGCAGATGTACATTACGCTTGAAGTGAGGCCTCCAAAATGTTTGTGTTTTGTCTCTCGATGCTCTTTGCTGCCACAAACCCATATTTGAGTCATTATCTCGGCCCATAGTCGTAATTAGCCGGCCCGCTGGTGGCTGAGTACATGTTTGCTGTGGCTGGGTTCATGTGGGGGTGGTAGCCGTGCCCCCTGATGCTGGGTAAAGGGTACGGGGACGGCCGGGTTTTGGCCCCCAGGTAGTGTTCGTAGGTGGTGGGGTATTTGTAGGGGTGATGGTGGAGAGTATCAGGCGGCTGCGGGTGCAGTTCATGGGGGGGACTCCTGGGTCCTGCTGTAAGGGGCACGGCATGGAGGCCACCTGGGACAGGAAGGGCGGGGCTTAGGACACGTGACATCAGCTGGTGGGCAGGGTCTGCATGGATGGGCGTCCCACTGGGGTCACGGTCATAGTCTCGCCGGCTGTCCTCTGTGAACAGGAGAGGAACAGGTTGTTATGATGGATACTGTAACAGATATGCAGTATATTTACAGTCGTATGCTAAAGTTTGGGTACTCCTCGTTACGTTAACGTTTTGTTGATTTTCTAAGTGAGAATAAGTTCACACATCCTCTACAGTGAACACATTTTATTTAATGCACCTTTGCTGAATTTAACATGCACTGTAAAAAGTGTCTCGTCAGATCTACCTAAAAACATGACTTCATATGGTAATAAGTAAACGAACTTGTTTTATTCAAACCTAAATAAATACTTTGAATGAATGATTTTTTCAATCAGTGTAGTTTTTTTAAGTTGAATAAAACTAGTTCAGGTGCTTTTTACCACATGAAGTAATTTTGTTAGGTAGCTCTGATGAGCCACTTTTTACAGTGTATTAAAAAAAACATATGGTAAAGCAAATAAATAGATATTGTGCACTACAATAGGCAGAAAATGACCTATTTAGCTTTGTTTCCTGTAGAGAATGTTAAAATATTTTCACTTCAACTATATATATATATATATATACATATGTGTGTGTGTGTATAAAATCAATTGATGTATGTATCGCTCATGTATGTTAATTGATGTACGTAACCTCATATCTCTAAAAAGATAACTTTACAGGAGAATGAAAAATGTAAATGTTTTGCACTTTTAATTGAAGTATATGGAGAAATATTTTTTTCTGAGTAATTTTGGACCATTTGTGTTGGTCCATTCATTATGAAATTTTGATTTTGACACAACATTAGGGGCAATGTATATCCAATTATTTATTTATATATATATATATATATATATATATATATATATATATATATATATATATAGCAAAAAAAAGAAAACATATTTAACATACAGTTACACAGAATTTTATGTGTAATATTGTTAATGCTAAAATAGTGGTAAATCTAAAAAAAATTCCTTAAATGCCTAAAAAAATAAAAAATAGGCAAAAAACTTGTTTGAAAACTGTCGTAAAACAATGTCTCAGTCATCAAGCAGTGTGTTCACAACCATTTCATGTCGTGTTAACTTTTTGTGCGGGAGCTTTTAGAGGCCATAAACTATTCAACGAACAACGTGAACAGAGTGAAGAGTTCTGGCAGTTTCTCTAAAATATACGTCACATCTTCACATCTTCACACTTCCATTATGCAGCAATTTTAAAAATTTGTGTTGAATCTTTCTTTAACATGTCAGTTTTAGACCCTGATGTCAGCAAATCTACATTAACCAAAGAGAAAGTTCCAAATATTTGTGTAATTAGATACATAACTGATAATTGGCTCCTGTAATTCATTGAAAAGCTGTAATGGTAAAACTGGCACGTCTGTTACGGACCTCGAGGTCAGCAGACGGACATTAACAGTTGCAGAGAGGCCTCCCAAACGTTTGTGTAGGAAAATCGCAGCGCGACTCTCAAATCTCCAGCGTTTTCTGGAGCTGTTTTAGTGTAATTTGCTCTGCTGATTGGACTGGAGTGTCCTGCGAGTGATTGGCAGCGTGAGTTATAGGCCTCTTCTGCCAAACAGCCTGAATCGCTCAGGAAATCGTTATACGCAGAGTTATGAGTACACGAGGAAAAAATGGCAGAGGCGATGTTGCGGTGTGTGTGCGGCGCAATGTCCTCCGGGCGTGCAGCTGTTTAAACCTCTGCGTATTGCAATCTGCAGCCCTCAACTGGAAATGGACGTGTTTGGCCCTTAGGAGTGTATTTTTCACAAATTCAATGCACAGGTGGCCAGTTGCAGTCACTCCGTTTCATGCACTGCAGTGCAGTTTGGATTGGATTTGTGCTTTTCTGGTTATTTTCAAATGACTTTTACTTACTGAGGTCAAGGGAGAGTGAAGCACGAACTAACTTGGAGTAAAATCTCGCACCAAAACAGAAGAATAGCTCCTGTTCTGCGAAGAATCTTTAGTGAAACTGCCTTAAATCTACTTAATACATCCAGAATTTCTCATTGAGATTGTTGCCAGAATATTCAACTTATTCAACTGATTTCTAGACGTTTTACTAGTTTTGAGTCATTTTTGATCTTATCTCATTGTTTCTAGCATCTTAGTCCAATATGTTGGACAATCTTAAAATCATAATACAATCTCAGAGTGAGAAATATTTGCTAGATTGGCTGATTTAAGATGCTTTTATAAGCCAGGAGGTTTGCAGTGTATTGAATTCCAGTTCCTGGTAGATGCTGGATGTACTAAGACGTTCCACTGCAGCTCCACTGGGAACTTGGCACTGGAGGAGTTTTTGGACCTCACAAGTCGGTTTTTGTAGCTACTTTTACTTCTTCTTGAGTCGTTATTTCATTGCAGTCATGATACTTTTACTTCAGTGTGGCTTTAGGCTGATTAAATGTCACCAGCAGGCCATGTGGTCTACTCTGACCCCAAATCACAGCGATGATTTCTGAATGATTATTACATCCATACTTGCTAGTAATTAAACAGCCCAAACAGTGGAAGCTCTTGCAGATGTAGATTGTTTTGGGCCGCCTGTGCGTAGCCATGAACCGAGGGAAATTACACGTTTTTAAAATGCTTTATGAGTTTTCGCAGCGCAGAACGTTCGGGGGAGCTGGGCTGTTGGAGAATGTTATTAGGGACTATTTTAAAGCTCATTTTCTGAGCTCCTGAGTTGTAAGCTGAGTTGAGCAGATGATTATCAGAGCTGGAGAATGAGGGCACATACCTTTCTCAGTGCCATTCTGCTGCGTGGGAGAAGACATTGGGTTCCTTGTGCGAGCGAAAGCGCTGATGATGGGCAGCGAGCCGGGCCTGTGATTCCTCGGCCTGAAACGAACAAGCAGCGCGAGTGTAAGGTTCACCGTTTACCTGTCTGTACCTAAACACAACCTATATATAAACGAACCACAGTGAATGGGGAGACGCCATGCATTAGTCCATCAACTAACTGACACAGCTATGGTGCACCAAACAATCTTTTCTGTTTGTTGGTGTTTGCTTGGTCAGTGTGCTCTGGACTTTAACCTCTAAGGGACTGTATGTGGGTCCACACTTCAATTCCTCACTCCCATAAGTTACATTACACATTAGTTTCATAGCAGTTACTAAATAATTCATCGTAGTTATTGAGTAACTGATTGTAGTAACTGGATAATTTAGAGTGGATACTGAATTATTAATTGTTGAAGAATTTATAGTAGATACTGAATAATTTGTAGTAGTTACTGTACATTTCATAGCAGGTAGTTCATTGTAGTTACTAAATAATTCACACTGGATACTGGATAGTCTGTAGTAGTTATTGAATAATTCATACTGGATACTGAATAGTCTGTAGTAGTTATTGAATAATTCATACTGGATACTGAATAGTCTGTAGTAGTTATTGAATAATTCGTACTGGATACTGAATAGTCTGTAGTAGTTATTGAAGAATTCATACTGGATACTGAATAGTCTATAGTAGTTATTGAAGAATTCATACTGGATACTGAATAGTCTATAGTAGTTATTGAATAAATCATACTGGACACTGAATAGTCTGTAGTAGTTATTAAATAATTCGTACTGGATACTGAATAGTCTGTAGTAGTTATTGAAGAATTCATACTGGATACTGAATAGTCTATAGTAGTTATTGAATAAATCATACTGGACACTGAATAGTCTGTAGTAGTTATTAAATAATTCGTACTGGATACTGAATAGTCTGTAGTAGTTATTGAATAATTTGCACTGGATACTGAATAGTCTGTAGTAGTTACTGAATAATTCATACTGGATACTGAATAGTCTAGTAGTTATTGAATAATTCGTATTGGATACTGAATAGTCTGTAGTAGTTATTGAATAATTCATTACTGGATACTAAATAGTTTGTTGCAATTATTAAATAATTCATACTGGATACTGAATATTCTGTAGTAGTTATTAAATAATTCATACTGGATACTAAATAGTTTGTTGCAATTATTAAATAATTCATACTAGATACTGGATAGTCTATAGTAGTTATTGAATAATTCATACTGGACATTGAATAGTTCATTGTAGTTACCAAATAATTCATAATGGATACTGAATAGTTTGTAATAGTTATGAAATAATTCACACTGAATAGTAAGTCTTAATAACCACATATATAAAAGCCTATATACTGTAAAAAAAAAACATTTTTAACCTTAACAAAAAGCAAGTAACCTTGTTAATTTTGTATCGATTGAACTTCATATAATATTTTTTCTTCTGTTAACCTTTTTTAAGTTTAAAAGTTGCACATTTTTTTAATGTCAACACTGAACGCACTGTAGTTTAGCAGTGTTTCTGAGAAGTGTGTGCAGCTGTAGATGTGATACATCCGTCTGAATGCACCAGTATTCAAAAGTTTGGAAACTCCTGTCATATTAATAATCACTCATCATATAATCACTGTAATTTCATTCAGTAGTATCTTACTTAGTGTGGATTGAAATTTTGTAAGCTAGTTACCAGGACATATTAAAAGATGTTTTATTCAGTAGTTCAAGTTATTTTGGAACACTAAGAACATTAATTGATGAACAATCTAATCACTAATTTACAGTGATTGCTTGATACGTTATACGCCTGAGCTTTGACCAGATGTTGTTACAGAATGATCTAGAGCTCTGTTCATCATTTTAGACACATCTAACATTTCTTCATTCGCCAGTGTTTGTTTATCAGTATGTTACGCAGTAAAACCAAACATCAGTCAGACAGTGCGTGTGTGTGCAGGCGTACTCACCAGTCCTCTGGATCACAGTCTCTGAAGCCCTTCGCGAATGGATTGCTGGCGATTTTTAGCTGAGTTATCTGAGAAATGCAACACAGAAATGTCAGATTACTCACCAGCTCATTATTATTATTATCATTATTATTATTAGTAGTAGTAGTAGTAGTAGTAGTATGTAACCCGTTTCACCAACACTGTAAGAAATACACTACCCAGAAAGTAAATGCCACTGTAAAACATAATAATTGCACTAACTTAATTTTTTGGTTTACTGTACTAATTACTCATACATCTAGTAACACATAATATACATGATATTAATTGTACAGTGCATAGGTACTGAGGCTAATCTAGTTAAGATCAATTCATTTGGATCAGTCCTACAGACTGAAGAGCCTTTTGCCCAAAAAGCTTCCCAGCATTCTGAGCAGCTTTGTTGGTTTCAGTTAATGAACTCTTATTTTTTCTAACTTATAAATATTATTCTCTTTGCAAAATGTTACTTTAGGTCAAATGTGAAGTTTGCATTTTACATATTGTTGTTATTCTCACCATGATGGCGTTTGGTGTCCAGTTCAGCCTGGAACCGTGAACGCTAACAGAATGGCAAACATGCATTAAGCTATCAGATTCCTCAGGAATGGATGAGTCTTATCTGAGCCATTCATTACTATACGAAACAGCTGGTTTAATATGATGGACTTGGTTTAATTGATGCCGGTGTATCACTCAGGGGAGAGTACTTGATTAAAGTTTATCTAATTCAATAGTAAGCAGACCTTGAAAAGGCAGAGTAAGCCAGCTCAGTGGACACCATTTACAGTGATAGTGTTGTTTGAGTAGTTGAGAAGTGTGGATTACTGAAAATTAGAAGGTACTATGACTGTAGACTCTGAGTCTATAACTCATATATGAATTTATGTAAGCTTGAACCTGTTAAGTACCATTTGTTTGGGGGCAAAAAGCTTGTATGATTGTATTGTCCTATATTAAATACTTAAATATTACCCAGTAATTTACTGACATCTTTTTTGCTTGGTGTCAGTTTGACCCTAATAATATAAACCTCTGTGAAAGAGTTCTGGTGGGAATTAGGTTCCCCTCCCCCATGTTGGGTGAACTGTCAATGGTTCACGCGCTACTACAGGTGTGGTTCTCTTAGGTTAGGGCTCTAAAGCAGAGACCCCAAAGAACGTTGGTGATGCGTACAGAAAGTGTACAGGACACTGAAAACACGTAATCATGACCATTTTTTGTTTACCCAGCTGTCCTCTTTAAATTAGGGAAGGTCGTTAAATATGAAGCGAAAAATGATGTCAGTCTCTTATTTAGAGACGCTAAACATCGAATAGGATCAAAGATAACAGGAGGGTTGAACTTGTAATATTAATAGTAGAGTCATTTGTTATGTAATTATCAGCTTATTTGAAGTTCAGTGAACTCAGAATTTCGAGTTAACCTGTTTACTGACTTTTAAAAAGCTGCAGAATTTTTACAGCGGACTTTAACAGCAACAGCGACGACGACGTTGAATTAGTTTGAATATTTTCTAGGTTCATGTCTCTGGTTGTTTCCGTGGAGCGCGCGAGGAGAGTGGGCCTTAGCAGTTACAAGTTGTGAGTGTGTAATATAATTAGAGAAACGCGTCTAATGTTCATTATGGAGACATGAACCGCGATCATAAGTACGTCGCTGTTTTATGTGTTTGTTTTTATTGATTCGAATTCCGAACGCCGTCGCGCGCCTCCTCAGCTGGCTGAAGAGCTGCGCGCGCTGGAAGTTTGGAGAGCACGAGGTCAAACCGATAGGCAGAAAAAAAACAGAGAGAGAGAAAAGAGAGAGAGAGAGTGAGAGTGATCAGCTAAACAGATTTTAATCTTCATTTTTATTACTGATTCATTTATGTTTTGAAATTTTAGATTATTTTTCTATTTTGCTTTCAATGTAAATATTATTTTCTTTCTGAAAATTTAAACGTCGCATCTGTACATTAGCGCTGTTGTTTATTCGTACATTTTATTTTTCACATATATAGCTCTCTCTCTCTCTCTATCTCTCTCTCTCTCTATATATATATAGGCTGTTTTAAGGCGTTGTAAGCGCTCTTAATCTGTGGTTCTGGTAGGCCGTTCTAAGGCGTTCTAAACGCTCTTACTCCGTGGTTCTAGTAGGCCGTTCTAAGGCGTTCTAAACGCTCTTACTCTGTGATTCTGGTAGGCCGTTCTAAGGAGTTCTAAGCGCTCTTACTCTGTGGTTCTGGTAGGCTGTGACGGCTGTGAACCGGGTCTCCTCGAAAACGAAGGTCTTGTAATTCTCCTCGGCGTATTTCTCGCTGTCCTTCCGGGGGTCCACATAGACCACGTGGAAGCGGGGCTGGTATCTGTGCATGGAGTTCAGGATAATCTGCAGAAAAAAACAGCAACATAGTGAGGAATATTTGCATTATGATAATATAATAATACATATTAAGACCTCATAGAGTTTCTGTGAACTCCAGCAACACAAACTGACTCACAGCATCAGCTCTATTACTAACAACAACAACAACAACAACAACAACAACACAGCTAAACAGACAGAGATGTACTTTATTTGTCCCCAATGAGAAATTTAGTTTAAAAATGTATAATAATAATAATAATAATAATAATAATAATAACAAAAATAATAATAATATAGATAGATAGATAGACAGGTAGACAGATAGATAGACGTACTTTATAATAATTATATGTAATTATTAAGTATATGTACTTTATAATAATAATATATAATAACTTCTTAATAATAATAATAATTGTAATAGACAGACAAACTGGGAGACAGATTGATTAATTGACTGACTGATTGATTGTTTGAGATACTTTTTGAGCCTTAAGGGGAGATGTGGGTAATTAAAATATAATAATAATAATAATAATAATAATAATAATAATAATAATACATTTATGTAAATACATGTATGCCTTCAGGGCATTGTTTTTTCACTTCATTGTTCCCCACACTGGCACGCGACTCTCCATATTTACTCTTTTATCAGTACGGTGTGTGGGATATGAGGGAAAATGCACGCGACCGAAAGTCTTCCTGCTTTATCGAGTATTAACAGTATTAACGGTAATAATAGCAGTAATAACAGCTCACTGTGGTACACAGTGGTAGAAGCGATGTCTGACTGAGATCCTATTATTTTAACACTGTCTGCTGAAATGCGCGCTGTAGTCCGAGCTCAGATCCGCTCGCGCTTTTACGTGAAACCGAAAATGATTTTTAATATAAGAAGTAGCGCTTTATAAACCGGAACACTGGTGAGGTGAAAAGCGCGTCTTTCCAGTCTTCCCAACACAATATTATGTGTATATTACACTGGCCTATACAATGTTTACACACGGTTGTTCAAAGGTTTGGAATCACTTCATAGTAAATAATAATAAATAATGGATGTTATTTTATTCCATGATAACGTGTACAGTGTAGATTTAAATACTAAAATCAGGTATTTTAAGGTGTTTAGTTCAGTGTGTCACGTGCATGAGTTTACTAAATAATCGGTAATATTCTTTTATTGTTTCCTGTAATTTCTAGACAAGTTATCAGATCAAATATTGAGACATTCTGGAAGAAAATTTTCTAAATGTTGTTCAGCTTTCAGAATCATCTGCAGTTCATTTTCAACACATCTAATATTTCATTAGCATCCTGTACAGTAGGAACATCTTATTAGAATTATATTAAAGATTGAGGCTCTTTAATGTGGAAGAGAAGAAAACGGTAAAATTGTGCATAATAATAATAATAATAATAATAATAATAATACACACACGCAATCATATATATATATATATATATATATATATATATATATATATAGATAGATAGATAGATAGATATACTGAAACAGAGCCTGTACTCACGTGGCCATTGTCGTCCAGCAGATTGTTGGTCAGTTTGAGTTTGTCGAAAGAGACGATCTGTTTCATCCACTGCGCCCCCTTGGCGGGGGAGTCCGGGTGGTAGTGGACTCTGCCCGGGGTTGCGGGGTCAGCCTTACCCGCCACGAGCCACGAGGAGCTGTGGAAGGCATACCTACGTCCGAGAGAGAGAGAGTGAGAAAGAGAGAGAGAGTCAACATCGATTACAACACATTATCCATTTCTACAAGTCTGAACACAACATTCAGTGCTCTGCAAAAGTTTTAGGCACCTGAGAAAATGCATTTATTTATCTGGGCGATAAGGATTTATTTACTCCGAAGAACACTGATACTGCAACGAACGTAAATAACACTAACACATTTTGTAGTGATTTTTATGGATGTCAGCGTGTTCATTTAACCATTTCCAAACCTCTCCTCGAGGATCCTCGGTGTTATTTGTAGTTATCATCCTCTACCTGCTTTAGCTCAATAAATCCTTCACTGTGTTCAGTCGAGTGTGCTGCTGATGGGATTTAACCTATCTGTGCGATGGCTGGAGTGCAGCGGGGAGAAATCTGGAACCAAACGTTGCTTTTCCGTCTGGCTCACAAGATACGCTCCTAAAAATAAAAGTTCTGTGCTGGTACGTTCTTCATTCATCAAGGTACGAACAATGTAAATGGTCCCTCAAAGGTACAATAGTGGTTTTAAGGTCCAGTTGCGAACCTCAAATAGGTTTTTCCCAGGTTAGAAGTACATATTTGTACCTTTTTACGACCGAATGTTTTAAAACAGAGCAATAAAATAAAAGCCTGGAGACGAGACGGGGTGTGTGGAGTCAGTACAGCTTAGAAAGTATAATTTGAATGGAACAGTTGGTACAGTTATGTTCCCTGACTAAAGGCACTGGGTGGAAGAGGGATACCACCCCAGTGACAGTTTCCTACCTTTTTTCTGAGAGTGCATCATCTCTCTTTTTCCTTCAAAATAAGTTTTTTCCTTGTTACTTTTTCCTGTGTTTTATGTTTATTTGCATCTGTTCTGACGACATTGTTTTTCACAGGTTAAAAACACACTCACTGCTGAGGTAAATGGTTTAAAACCGTGTGCTAAAGACTTTTGCACAGTGCAGTAAATGAAGCTAATGCAAGTACTCGTTCAATTTTAGAATCAAAGCTCATTTGGTCGCAGATACATTTGTAAAATGATCCTAATATGTTGTTCTGTTTACATGTTTACATGCAAAAATGCATCGTATTCCAAAAGTGGAGATCCAAATCTCGAGGCAGAAAACTCGACAAAGAAGTTCATGTAAATAGATAATTACTGAATGTTAACGTTTTGTTCACGTGCTGTTCGCAGAATTCTTGAAATACTGAAAAGAGCGTCTTTTGTAGTATTTCAATAAACGCTGTGTACGTTATTATATTCAAATAATAAAGACATGAAATGTTAATATAGCCAGGGATCAGTGATCGCAGACATTCCTCTTTTCTCGAGCCCACCAGAACAGAATTGAGATCCTTCCTAGTCTGGCTTTGCGCTGCTGTACTTTACTCTGGGGTTTATTAAAGCGCCTTTCCTCAGTGGAGCCCTATGGCAGCGTGTTTACGGCCCTTTTAACAGCAGGAGCTTGTAATGAAATTAAAGGAGATCCGCTTTTGGCCAGCCTTCTAATTTCAGTGTGGAGGCGGTTAGATCAGCCTGAACGTGCGGGTCGAGCAGTAAAAGTGTTTTCAGTGAGGTAGAGTAGAAATAAATCGCTATTGTCGGAACAAAATCTCGTATCTCCAAAATGGTAACTTTACAGGACAAAGAAAAAACTTGCTTTACTTTTAATGTAAGTCAATGGAACCAGACTTTTTTCCAAGTCATTTTGGGCCGTTTCTTTTAGTCCATGCTTCATGAAATTTGCACACAATGTAAAAGACTGCAGGCATTTTCAAATGATGTCAAAAACTGAAAAACTTCAAAAATGAAGATACAAGGTTTTGTTTCGACAGCAGCGAAATGTAACTACAAAAACGACTTGGCGTAAAAACCCACCAGATCCAAACACTCTTCAAGTACAAAGTTACTTCTAGATCTGCAGTCCAGCGTCTTCAGTATCTTTGTTTGAGTGTGTTCTTCGCTTTTTTGGTCTCCCTTTTGGTCTAAAAATCAAATGCTGAAGCTTCAAAGTGAGAAGTGAGCAACAATTCAATATAACTGAATAAAAAATTAAAGGAACTTATTTTGAGTGACTGAAATGGAACTGGAGAAATTTCTTGACCAGTATGCTCCTTAACAATGTGGTCGTAACGTACAGGAAAGAACCAGCCTACACCGAGTAAATGCAAGTTGCCACCCACCTTTGCGTTTCTAACGCATTAAAAGCATTGTGAGATTTGGCTCGTAGGCCAGCGCAGCTGTCTGGTAGATATGCAAACAGACTGTTTGTTGTCACGAGAAAGCTACAGACCACACAGTGTTTCCATCGTAATACAGTAAAGATAACGGCTTGTACTATAAAAGGGAAAATGTTTTCACTTAAAAAGCTTCAAGTATGCAGACTGTCTTAAAATGCTGCCATCACTGAACATCAGTTAGTAAGTCGACAGAATAATCGGTGCGTTACGTTCATATTAACGTGTTACCACAATTTAAAGTTGCTTTTGCTTACTTCGAACTTTTTTAACACCACTGATTATGAATGCTTGTGTTCATCCTAACAACAAACACTCATCTGAGGCTGTGCTCACAATTTAAATCAGTGATTCATTACAGGGCTGGTTTGCATATTACAGTGTATCAATGTCAAACTATTTCAATAACAACGAAGAGTTGACGTATATTACACTCCAAAAAAAGAAACTGCTGTATAAACTTAATTACGCCACACGCATCCAATCAAAAAGAGTAGATTCAGTACACACAGACTTTGTTACCTTGACATAAAGTTTGTTGGTGACACAGTTCAGTGCAATTTCTTTGTGTTTCACTTCAAAAGACTTTTAAAACTTTTATTCATTGAAATGTACGTCCATTTTATTTTTGTCCCTTAAACCAGTTACTTACAGACAGCACAGTTAATCTGTTTAGTATCGGCATGTTTTCAGTTTGTACGTCAAAAAACACAGTGCTTCGTTTTTAGACAGCCTGTCCCGTCTAAGAGCGCTCCTGTAAATGTAGGCCTCTGGTAGGGCATGAAGACTGTACCTTACTAATGGACATCGCTCTGTAATGTCAAACATTTGTGCAAATGTTCTGTAAGCTTCCTCTGGCTTTAGCAAACTGGTCGTTTGCTAATGTGGAAGTTCATCAAACGTAGCCAGCAGGCTCACTATCATGAATATTCGCCGATTAACGTATACTATTCGAATATCCCAAAGATATACCAGACTATTATAAGTACCATTACTAGTACCAGCACTGTTGTAAGTGCCAATTGAAACAGCTCTCTTCTCTTTTCTCTTTTCTGCTTGTGGTAATCGCCAGAAAATAGCAATCAAAGCATGCAGAAGCGTAGCCCAATCATTTTAATCGATTATTGTGTTCTGTAGATGCCAGCTTACCTGTAGCGTTTATCGTCCACTGGTAGGAAATCCATTAAAAGCATGTAGTCTGCCATTGGGTCCATTCCAAATATTTTCACTTGGAAAGTAGGAAACATTCGTCTGGAAGAGTAAGGAAAGGCCGTGTTAGTGCTCACACAGTCACTTTTTGAAAGAACAATAATCCCAAATTTGGCGCAAAATGTTTTTTTTTTCCGTGAAATAATCGAACCGAAGTCCCAAACTGTCATATCAAATAAAGGGGAAATATATAGCCGTTATGATTAAACATGCTTTACTGCATTTATTTCAACTCTTAATCATTTTACACATCAGTTACGTTGGGTTTTATTCCATTCTCTCTCGGGAAAAATGCTAAAAATGCACCGTACTCCCTAATGTTATTATTAAACATATGCTACAAATATTACAGAACTACTTCAAATACAAGATACACAGACAAATAACCTTTTATTTAAAAAAAAGCCGAGCACTGTAGGGTACAGTTAGGTTATGTTTCTTTCAGTAAACACTTGGTTATTAAATATGATTTAAACACTAAATTATATCTTCACAGTCTTTAATTTACACCATTCGAATGCCAATGCTAATGTAATATCGATGTAAAATGAAAGCGCTCGCGCTGAACTGCTAAAGGCGGATCAGTTAATGTCAAGTTCACATTGATAATGACAATGGAGTGCACCCCCCTCAACGCCGCCACCCCCCCCACACACACACACAGTAACATTCCTCAGTGTTGGTTTGACTCGAAGAGCACTAGAGGAGCTCGCGCTGCTGATATTCCTTTACAAGATTAATCTTCAAATTTTCATATTTGAAATGCCAGATTTGACGTTAGGCTCTTTGAGCTTAATTCGAAGACTTGATTTTATCAAATCGTTCAGTCACGTGGCTAAAAAGTGAGGTTTTATAGCTTAATTTATCACATTAAAAGAATCTTTTGCCCACATGTGGTTCGACTAAAACGATAGGAAATCCGAATTTGATTTTGCGCGAAAGTAAGAAATTATATGCAGTCAAAAATGTCAAACGAGTAACTGTAATTTAAACATTTCATCGCTTTAGACCAATCAGAACAACTCCTGCCGATGCTGGGCACGAATGGGTTAAGAAGAACATCTGGCTCATGTAAAGAGTCAATATAGAAGAGTTTCTATCTGTGTTTTATTCTGGACATTATTAAAAATAAAGATAACTGAGCTAAAAGGTTTTTATATCGTCTAAAAAGGGGTCCATAATAATAATCCAATAATAATCTAATAACATCTGAACCCGTCTCGTGCAATGTAGAACCATTGTGTAAATAAAAATGAATAAAGCTTTTGTTAAAAGTAGCTCGACAGTCGTATGTAACCGATTGTTTCATAGTTTTTAAAAGCTTTTTATTTTTATTATTTTTGCAGAGCAATAGTTTTTTAAGTAACGCTCGCGCGCACATTGCTAAACGTGCGATGCAGCATGAACAGACGCCTCGTGCGCTACAGTGTGTGAATAATTCAGCTGAAAAGCAGAAGTGAAGCCGTTTGTGTTTGTGCTGCTGGCCAGTGAAAGTGATCCTGAAGGCAGTTGTGGGCTGGTGAAGCTAAAGCAGCTCTGAAAGTGCTTTCTCTCGGATGTGCTGTTGGTGGAGTCTCTGGAATGACAGATTACCCTGCAGGACAAGCATGGGAAAATAATCCCACTGCAGCTCAGCGAAGCCCCCCTCTCACCCTCTCTCTCTCTCCACAGCACACAGAAGAATATGGACTTATCTATGCAAAGCCAATAAGCAAACCAATAATCAAACATCTGGGGTCGATATCGGTGCTGTCAACTCACTAATGTCGATGTCTGAAATGTTAGGTTTGTCCATATGTTCTCTGCACGAGCTTTCCGGAAGAACTTTGTTTATTGATTAAAGCACATGGCTAAAAAGACAGCTTTTATCACTTATTATATGAAATTCAGTATTTTGATCACATTTACTGCTAATTTAATACAAAAGACACTGTAAATTTAATTGGAACTAAAAGTTAGAAAATGAAATGCAATCAAAAAATTCCAATGCATAATGTTAGATGTTCATCTAAGATATAAGTTGACCAAATTTCACTCTTGCAGACCAGTCAGAACGAGTTGTGTGGCATTTTTTTTCTTATCATGCTAAGATTAGCTGCTGAGCGCGAATGGGTTAAGAAGAACATCTGGCTCGTGTAAACAGACAACACAAAAGGGTTCTTCACTGTATTTCGATGCTCTGCACTCTTAAAAATAAAGATTCTCAAAGCAAAAAATACCCAAAAAGTTCTATGAATTGTACTAATAGCAGAACCCGTTTTTGCTGCTTTTTAGAACCGTTTTTAAGTACCACACAAACGGTTTTTAAACCATTCAACTATGCAAAGAACCATTTGTGTATTTAAATGTTTATCACAGTTCTGTGTTACCACTGCCTTTACTAAAAACCCCTGAAGAGCCACTTTTTTAAGAGTGTAGATTCTTGGCCCGGATCTATGGTTCTAAAACTGGAGGTTCTTGAATCTTTTAAAAAGGTTCTCGCACTGAAACAATTCGCAAACATTGATCTTTAAAGAACCGTCAACGGAAAACTTCTGTAGCTTCTTTCACTCCAAAGAACCCTTTTTGGTTCTTTTCATTTTTCATTCAAACTGATCGAAGGTGTGGTCTAGCGAGCACGCGCTATATGGTGTATACTTTAGGCGTTATATATTATTAATAACCATTCATGGTGAATACTTATTTTCAGCTCAAATTTAAAATTCCATTCTTTATTAATTAATAAGAAGTGTATGTATGTAATATATTTAATAAATGTAAAAACATATTAAACTTAATAAATATACGTTTATGGTATGTGTAGCCTGGGGGTCTATTAAAGAATAAAGGCTGTTATTACATGGGCCTTATCGTGCCTTTAGCGACTTAATAATAGAATATAAGATCAATACACAATCAAACCAGCTTTTGAACTCTTGCAGGGCCCATAGCTGACCATCTGCAGGCCTTATGTGGGACAGTGCACTACTCGGTATTCGTAAGTCAAAGAAAGCGCACAGTTTTGTCATTAATCATGTTTATAACACCTTAATTACTCATTGAAGAAATATAGAAATACAGAAGGAAAATATGGATAGATATTTTGCACGATGTAGTTTCAAAATGTAGAACTGAGTATCTGTTTGAACAGTGTGAGAAATCCGGTCAGCGAGCTGAACGCGGCCTTGTGTCCGGTTGTCTGACCACAGTGGATGGACATAAAGTAGCCATAAAGCTGTGTTTTGCTTGCGAGGCCTGCTGTTATTGGCTTTGTACAGGTGACTAAACTACAAATAGAACAATAACACACAACTGGATTCCGCAGTCTGTTGTCTCAACTGCATTTTTGGTATGAATTGACCAAAAGTAAACTCAATCCAGGCTGTAATTCCCTTATTAATAACACTATTATTGTTTTTAACATGATTTTACAGCACTGGAACGCCATAGCGGTGTAATAATATATTGTATGGCATATGAGTTGCTCATGGCGAACCGTCGCCAGAATTCCAGCATTTAAAGGCGCTGGAATAACGGTGGGCTTATGGTCTTGTTTTAAGTTGTGACTGCTTAAATCTTCTCCGGCTCTCGCCAAGCAGCCACACAATGGGTTAGCAGTATCTAAATCAGCTTATCCCCTCTTATCTCAGGGTAAATACACACTGTTGGCACTCCATTACAGGAGCTCATGCATTTTCGCAGCTGGTGCGCTGCTTGTAAAGTAGGGCTGAATATTCCACAATATGATTTCAAATATTGAAATATTTTAATTGCTGTATTCTATCTTTTTTACTGGTCTTGCTATAATGTATGGCATAAGAGTTGCATTGTATAAAAATACCTCTATATTCCTACATATCACTAATTACTTCTCACTATATTAAACGCGTGCAGTATTTCATATTGAAAAGCGCAATTTTATGCGCAAAATAGACACAAAGCATCGATTAGGTCTATAAAGTCTATCAGTGAGTGTACGTCTAAATCCTGTATTTAAATAAGTACAGACCTAACAAGTGCTTTAGTGTAAATATATATAAATATAAATCCACTGTATCTCTATATCACTGCGGCTAAATCCAACATAACTAAACTGCCGATCAATAAGCCTAAATTTAGCATATAAATGCAAATACATGAATGTAAACCCGCTTATAAATATAAACAAGAATACAAATATAACACTGATGTATCACTGTATCACTGCGGCTGAATACAATATAGCTAAACTCCAACATATTTCAACTGTAAACCTAACAGTGAGCCTAAATTTAGCATATAAATGAATGTAAATCCAATCATAAATATAAACAAGAATACAAATATAAACACAGTGTATCCAACAGCTAAACTCCAACAAGTGTCCACTGAAAACTAATCAGTGAGTCTTAATTCAGGATATAAATACAAATAAATGAATGTGAATCCAACATATAAATATAATATATCTAATATTTTAAGATATGGACTAATAAGTCTAAATGCAACATGCAGTCAGATAAAAACAGTTAATCAATGAGTAATCCAAAAGATTAATATCTTTAAATACAAAATCTAAGTAAAGCCAATGTATACATGTAACCATATAAACCCAATGTATCACCACACCTAAGTCTGCTCTGCAATAATAATAATAATAATAATAATAATAATATTAATAAAGTTCTCACACAAATTCTCATCATAATCTGGGTTTATGTTCACTCACTGCTGAGCTTTGAATGGACTCAGCATTTTAAAACCACCAGTTTGCTGAATAAAACACTAAAACACTAAAAATCATTGTTATTTTTCCACTGCAGCACCGCGTTACAAACCTCCACGGAGGCCCAGCGTGACTCACCTCCCAGCCTTGGTGACGATCATCTCGGTTCCGAGTTGGTTGAACTCGTCCCAGAGCGCCTTCATCTCCAGCTGGACGCTGATGTTGGCCACTTTTGGGTTCTTCTTCACCAGAGACTTGTTGGGCGTCGAGCTGGAGGAAGACGAGGAGGATGACGGGCATGTGGATGTCCCAGTGTCCCCCTGCGGAGCAGCCTGCCCTGGGTTGGAGCCAGGGTAAGGGTAGGAATGCTGGGCTGCAGGGCACGGCTCGAAGTGGGTCTCGTGCTGGCCATAAGGATCTCCTGGGGACGGGGAGAGATGGTAGCCCCCCCCAGGGGCGCTGAGGCTGTTCAGGCTGCTGGTGGTGAAGGCTGCAACATCGCAAAAATGGGAGAGCTGCGTCAGCCACGGACTGGAGATTGCTGAAATCATTCCAGATTTTACTGGATGTGCGCTGGTTTTTGCGCTTTGTTGTTTCTAGTTAGCGCTTGTTTTGCACTTTGCACTTCTTGGTTTTTAGTTTTTTCTAACTTTCTCTATCTCCGTTGTTGCGCTGTTTTTGGTTGTCTTTTGCGCTGTTTTCCTCTTCTTGCTTTTCTCTGTTGTCCTGATTTCTTTCTATCTGGCGCAATTTCGAGCGGTTTTGTTTCTATTTAGCGCCGTTTTTTCCGCGCTTGTCCCACGATATTGCGCAGTTTCTTCTCGTCTGCGCTGCTTAACACGACCGTACGAGTCTCGTTTCTGTTTTCCGAAGTCAGCGCTGAACCAAAACAAACGCTTGCAGTGGCGTAAAAATCGACGGCAATCAAAAAATAACAGTCGTAAATAGTAATAACAGCGTCACGGTGTCCACGTTAAGGTTAAATAGTCTTCAAAAGTAAAGGCGGTGAAGTCCGAATGGCGCGTGCAGACTGTCCCCGTTCGCCCCTGCGCGCGGATCCGGGCTGCAGCAGCGGTAGTGCAGCTCCCTCCTTCGGCTCGACGCGGCGCAGAAACGAGGCGGAGGAATAAAAGAGCGAGCGGAAAGTCCTGCTTTGAGTGCTGCTGAAAGCTGCTCGCGCGTGCTGTGCTGCTCTCTGCCCTGCTGCTGTGTGTTAATGGCAAATGCTCTTCTCTCTCTCTCTTATCTCTACCACCCCTCTCCCCCCCCACCCCAGCACACCGCCCCCCCTCCACAGACCCCCCGCTCCAGAAAGCCCGGTTCTTATTTCTATTTAGATAAGGAGCTGCAGGTATACGGAGCACTGCGGCCCAGTTTAATGCGCGCGTGTTTGTAAGGGGGGAGTTCGACAACAATGCAGAGGAAACAACACAGGAGAGGAAACTTTTAACCAAGTAAACATTTTTTTTAAATCCAGTAAACAAACAGTGTGTCTTTGCTGTTTTTCCTTGTCTTTCCTTGATTTTTTTTTTCCAGAAGACAAATGAAATACAATTTATTTTTTTTATATGTTGCAAAATTTCTATCCTTTTTTCCTCTAATTTTACTATATTAATTTGTTATTTTTTTATCCACACTCCTAAAAATAAAGGCTCCTCAACGCTTACTGTCTTGGAAAACGTTTTTTTAGATAAAAATAATCAAAAATGCTCCATCCTTTAAAACAAAAAAAAGTTTATGGTGGTCCCTCAGTGGTGGTACCCTTTTTGCTTCCATCTAACATTTATTTTCAAAAACCATAGTTTTTTCCACTTCACTTCGTGCATTTTCCAATTTTGTAGCGTCAATTTCATATTTTAGCGACTTTGACCTGCACATAAAAGCTTTATTTTCCTTCTAGTATTTTGCAACGTCATTTTACTCGAGTTACAACCAGTTCCCCAACAGGTTACTGTCCTCACAGTACATGCTTTACATGCTTGCCTTCTTTTTCATTTTCGCTCCTGTCACGATGTCTCAACGCTGCTCACGCAGTACAGCATATACATGCAAACGGTGCATATTTTTAGTCTTTTACTTCACTGAGATTCTTGGTGTAATTCATCAGCTAAGTACTGAGGTCAAAACTGGCGCGATTAAGCAAAAGAAAACTCCAAAATATGCGGCAGTTGTCCATTTTCGTTTTCGTGCATGTGACTGCACTCTACGTCTACTGTCCCAGCGCTGCTTCTGTAGCAGCCAACCACGCAGACCGTCTTTTACCTGCTCTAGTACACCTGATGCATCTCTCCAGCTCTCAATTAGCCCATTTTTACTGTTAAAGTCGCTTTTTTGGCGAAGTGGAAGTTTTGCTTTTGTGCTTTTGCACTTGCGTATTATGTTCACGTGTGTGACAGTAGCTTACAAACGCAATCGAGGTGTATTCCACCTTTCACTGCACTTTCCAAGCGCTTTTTCCTGCTCTAGCACACCTGGACCAACTCATCAGCCCATTATTGATCACTTTGAAGGTTCTGCTTGTTGTATGGTAATAGCGTAAATAGTGCAATGTGCGGCAGCGTGTCATACACGTTGCTGTGCGCGACTGAGCAACGTCTAGCCCTAAGTTTCTCCAGCTCTTGCACGTTTTGCTACACATTTGACTGCTTTTCCTGCTCTAGCACACCTGACCCCAACTCGCCAGCGCATTACTGATCACTTTAAAGCTTCCAGTGATTCTGCACGAGTAGCGCAAACCCTCAAATGTGCGGTAGCTTTTCACTTACGTTGCACAACTAGCTAAGTTTCTCAACCCAGCTCATGTATTACTCAATACTCACCTTATATCTGCTCTAAAACTCTCATAAGTCCGGTAATAATAGCTATATTCGTGTATAATAGTTGCGAAAGTGCCGTTTCTGAGCTTGACGTTTCTCAATCAGTATCAAAAATATCACGTGCACTGCATTTGTAATGAATTATAAAGAGTGTTGGCCCATTGAGTGGTCTCTTCCAGCACACCTGACATCTTCAGCCCCCGATTAGCCCATTTTTTAGGTTAATTTAAGCCCACATAGCAGGAAACGTCTCATTTTCCTGTATGCAGTGTTGCAATGGCTGGGAATAGTGTGGTGCACGAATCTAACAACAACAAAAGAAGAAGCTGAAAAAGAAAATAAAATGACCCCTAAAAACACCCCTCAACCCAATTTACCCCCCTCCCTCTTCATTCCCTTACCTTCCATCTCTCTGGTCACTGTGCTGTAGTGCATGGCCCCCGATGATTGCTGCTGTTTTTTGTCCAGCGCTCGAGCTCCAGCTGCCGCCGCCGCCGCGATCAGAGAGGCGATACTGAAAGCGTTTGCTTTTGGAGAAAGGGGACTGCTGTCGTCCATAGGACACCCACCCTGTCCCGGGATAGTCCTGTTTTTTTATCCCCTCTCCGCTCCTCTCTACTCGTCCAGCAGCGCGGAGCAGAAACAAAAGCGATCCAGAAAAAAGTGTCGGCGGAAACTTCACTCGTGCGGACTTTCCTTCGCTTCTCTCCGGGCGAACGCAGACGTATAGTGAAACTCCACTCCGCGCGCTCGCTCGTGCGCGCGCACCGTCCGTCTGTGGTCTGTTGTTTTTTTTTCTTTTTTTCGCTTTTTACTTTTTCTTTTCAGCCCCTCCAAAAAAAAAAGAAGCCCAAAAACTTTTTATTCCCACCGAGTAGTTCAGCGAGCCATTGCGCGCTCCAGCTCGGCTCCCTTTTACGCTCCAATTAAAAGATGTGCCCCGACGTGTCCTGCTGTATTAAAACATCGCTCATCCTACAAGAGGGGGGAAAAAAGTGGGATTTTCTTTCTTTTAAAACGCCAACTTCCCAACGTGCGTGCACCCCCCCACCTTCTCTCCCTCTCTCCATTCAGCCCGGGTGATGTCAGTGTGCCTGGAGCAGAAGCTACTGAGAGAGAGAGAGAGAGAGAGAAAGAGAGGGAGAGAGAGAGAGGTAGCTCCACGCCTCCCATACACGACCCAAGAAAAAAAAATAATAAAAAAAGAAAAAATAAAAAACAATAAAAATGTGTTCCTGCTCTCTTTTGCCTTTTTTATTCGAACTTGAGTTTTCCAATCACTGCAAATCAAATTTTTGGGGGGGAGGAGGTGGGGGTGGGGGGGGCGGAGTGATAAATCTAAAAAATAATAACATCGGCGATATTAATAATCATATGCCAGATGCCAATTTGGAGTTTGGAGCCTGAGTGACGTCATCAGACCCAGAGTTACACAAACAAGGTGATTATTGATCAGTGATGGACGCATGATCAACAGCCAGGTAGCAGCATGTTCAGTTCTTAGAATAAATGATTGTATTTTAACGATTAATTTGAATATTTTATAAAATGTGCAACGTGCATGATATCTAATGTAACACAAAATCGTAAAAATATTTTAGTTCAGTTTTAGACTCGTGTTGCTGTTCATTACGTCACAGCAGATTTTTTTATTAGCTTTTTTTGGGGTAATTTTTCCTTCAAATTTCTTTTTCAAAAAGTTTCATTAAACTTACGTTTAAACTCTTCAGTTTAGTGTTGTTGGCAGGGCTGCTCAGACCCTTTTCTGTCCTTCTAGGCAGATTAAATGTGCAAAAATGAGCTGTTTTTCATGCAGTCACGTTTCTACACCAGTGATTTCTGTGATTTTCTAAAACGCCTCTATGAGCTGAGCCTGGTGACGTAGCAGCAGCAGTGAACTGTAAAGAGGGGGTTGTAATAAAGTGTACATTCTTAAAAAGGGTTCTTTAGTAAAGGGAATGGTTCTACTTAGAATGCTTCATGCTTAAATGATTCTTTCCATGGTGAAATTGTTCTTCAGATTGATGGGGAATGTGTTGAACATGGTTCTATATAGAACCTTTTTGAGAGTTGTTCTATTTAGCACGAAAGAGGGTTCTGCTATTGTTACAATATCAGGCTTGGCATGTAGAAGTAACACAAAACCACACTCTTAAAAAGATGGTTCTTTGAGGGTTCTTTAGTAAAGAGAATTGTTCTATGAACAGCTAAAGATCCCTTTGCATGACTGAATGGTTCTTTGCATGATGAAATGTTTCTCCAGACTGATGGAGAATGTGTTGTCTATGGTTCTATATAGACTTTTTTTTTAATGGTTCTATATAGCACCAAAAAGGGTTCTGCTATTGTTACAATGTCAAGCTTGGCATGTAGATTTTATATTGAACCACATTCCTAAAAAGATGGTTCTTTAAGGGTTCTTTAGTAAAGGTAATGGTTCTACATAAAACCATGAACACCCAAAGAACCATTTGCGTGATTAAATGGTTCCTCGCATGGTGAAATAGTTCTCCAGATTGATGGAGAATGTATTGTCTATGGTTCCATATCGCACCAAAAGGGTTCTGCCATTGTTAAAGTGTCAAGCTTGGCATGTAGATTTTATCCAGAACCACACTCTTAAAAAAGATGGTTCTTTGAGGGTTCTTTGGTAAAGATAATTGTTCTGTAACTCATGATTCAAAGTAGAACCATTACCTTTCCCGAAGAACCCTTGAAGAACCATCTTTTTTTGAGAGTGTAGAGTTCGTAATAAAGTGTAGAGTGTGTAATAAAGTGTTTATAAAGCAGGCTGAAACCCAAGCGGAGCTGCACTTGACCTTCACTGGCCAGTCTGCAGTATCCACTTATCAGCTTATCGTGGTTCATCATTAATGAATGGCAACTAAAGTTATGTTTTGTCGAGGCTGGCTGTGAGCTGGACGGAGGCTCTAATGGGATAAAGCTTAACACAGCGCGGCTCCGCGAGCTTATCTGGATCCTCTCACTCCACCATCTGATGGCCTTTAGTGGAAAAGAGCGCTGGGATACTTTAGACGCGCTCTCAGAGCCAAAAACACTGTAATTAATAGAATTAGATCCTCTCTGATAATAACGATGCGAATATCAGTGCGCATTAGTCAGTGATTACGGTGTTATTTTAATGTGCAGCGCCTGTTTTAGAGAGGAGGGTCAGTGCAGCGCACTCGCTTCCTTTTACTTTCCTGTTTATTTATTTATTTAATCTGTTATTGTTTAATAACACAATCGCATAACAATGCATATGTGCTTATTTATTTATTGCATTAAGATAATACAAATAAATGTAATAATATTTATTCATTACACATATGTGCACGTATAATTAAGTAATTAATTGCTTAATTTTTGAGGCAAAATAATTGATCGATTTATTTTTGTGGCGAATTTGTTGACTTGTTTTATTAATTCATTTATTTATTTACCTAATAATGAGTCTCTTTACTGTGAGAAAAATATTTATTTACTTGTTTGTGTGCGTCTCTGTTTGTTTATCCGTTCGTCACTCTGCTTTTCCTGTGATAATATTCCTTCATCCCTCCATTTATTCCTTCCTTCATTCCTTCATTCCGTCACGAGCTGAGGGTCTGAGAGCGGAGGGCGGAGACTGTAAGAGTGTGAGAGTCTGAGGGTCTACATTGGGGGTCTGAGAGTGTGGGGGTGTGAGAGTGAGGGCCTGAGAGTGTGAGGGCTGAGAGTGTATGAGTGTGAGAGTGGGAGGGTCTAAGAGTGTAAGAATGTGAGGGCTGAGAGTGTAAGAGTGTGAGGGTTTGAGAGTGTGAGGGCTCAGAGGGTGAGGGCTGAGAGTGTGAGGGCTGAGAGTGTAAGAGTGTGAGGGTCTCAGAGTGAGGGTCTGAGAAAGGGTCTAATTCTATCTGAGAGGGCTCAGAGGGTGAGGGCTGAGAGTGTGAGCGTCTCAGAGTGAGGCTCTGAGAGCGTGAGAGCTGAGAGTGGAAGAGTGTGAGGGTCTGAGAGCGTGAGCGTCTCAGAGTGAGGGTCTGAGAGTGTGAGGGCTGAGAGTGGAAGAGTGTGAGGGTCTGAGAGTGTGAGGGTCTCAGAGTGAGGGTCTGAGAGTGTGAGGGCTCAGAGTGTGAGGGCTCAGAGTGAGGGTCTGAGAGTGTGAAGGCTCAGAGTGTGAGGGTCTCAGAGTGAGGGTCTGAGAGTGTGAGGGCTCAGAGTGTGAGGGCTCAGAGTGTGAGGGCTGAGAGTGAGCGGGTGTGAGGGCTGAGAGCGGAACTGTGCCGGCTGTAGTGATCAGTGATGTGCTGCTGTTAGATCTAAACTCGAGCCCTGTTCTCCGCTCTTTATCTGATGCTGCTGATAGCGACTCACTCCATCACTGCCAAGTCGGAAGCGGCCTTTGTAATTCCTCAGGCGATAACAGACAAAATTCAGAGGCGATGGAAGAATAAATAAATAAATAAATACGGAGGGACGGACAGGAATGCAGTCAGGCGTGAGGTTGCGCAACACTCGGCGTTACTTATCTCTCTCCTCGCCGCAGAGCGAGAGCGTCTCTGACTATTAATAAAACTGGCAGCGTGACCCGGATGATGACAGACGCGCTGTGTTTTAGGAGCAGTCAGTTCAGGTGTGTTCGAGTCTTTACTTCGGTCTTTAGTGCCAGTCTGTAGAGCAGCACTGACGCTCTGGAGCGGATCCTCTACTGCCTCAGCCTGCAGAGGCCTTTAACGGTCATTCTGCAGTGATCACTGATTTACACTGCAGACCTGCAACTGCAAAAACAAACAGTGCTGGAGTGAGTCTTACAGTACTGAGGTCACTGTTAGGAGCTGAGTGAATACCTACAGCACTGCAGTAACATCTGCAAGGTTCAGTTAAGACTTACAGCGCTGCTTTCCGGTTTACAGGGATTGTATAATGTAATGAACAATTCAGCACTGCAGGGTTTAATAGCAGGTCAGTATACTGTCAGTGGTTTGCTAGTATCTGGAATGAAGTTTGGGAGTAGCTGGTCAGTACACAGTCAGTAGCTTGTTAATCATTGGTCAGTAGCCTGGTAATAGCTGATCAGTACAGTCAGGGGTTTGTTGGTCAACCCACAGTCAGTAGGTTGTTATTAGCTGGGTAGTAGTTTGTTAGTAGCTGATCAACATACAGTCAGTAGGTTGTTATTAGCTGGGTAGTAGTTTGTTAGTAGCTGATCAACATACAGTCAGTAGGTTGTTATTAGCTGGGTGGTAGTTTGTTAGTAGCTGATCAACATACAGTCAGTAGGTTGTTATTAGCTGGGTAGTAGTTTGTTAGTAGCTGATCAACATACAGTCAGTAGGTTGTTAGTAAGTGTTCAGTAGTTTGTTAGTAGCTGGATTGAAGTTTGTGAGTAGCTGGTCAGTACACAGTTAGCTTGTTTATAATTGGTCAGTAGCTTGTTAATAGCTGATCAGTAGCTTGTTAATAGCTGATCACTACTACAGTCAGTAATTGGTTGGTGAATATTTTATTGTTAGTTGGTCAGTACACAGTCAGTAGTTTGTTAGTAGCTGGTCAACATAAAGTCAATAGGTTGTTAGTAAGTG